GGTTTAGGGTTTACGGCTGAGGGTTTAGGGTTTAGGGCCTCGTAAAAGACCTTTGCTGCTGTCTTGTGTTTGGTTTGCTGCTGCAGTTTGCGGCAGCCACCCACAAATAACAGCTCTCGAGGTTAGCTCAGCAGCAGGGCCCCTCGGGGGCCCCCAGGGGGCCCCCTGGGGGCCCCCAAGGGGCCCCCACGGGGCCCCTTGGGGGCCCTTGGGGGCCCTTGAGAGCCCCTTGGGGGCCCCTTGGGGGCCCCTTGGGGGCCCCTGTGGGGTGCCCAGGGGGCCCCTCTTAGGAGGGCCCCCTTGGGGTACGGGGAGGGGGCCCCCAAAGGGTACAGTTCTTGGGGGCCCCCCTACTGAGCAGTTTATGTCTTTATTTATTTTAAGGAAAGACTCAGGCTTTCTCTTCTGCTGCTTTTCCTGTGGCTGCAACTTTATTTGCTGCTACTGCTCCGTTGGCTGCTGCTGCTGCTGCATGGAGCCTGCTGCTGCTGCTGCTGCTGCAGCAAAATAGCCGCTGCTGCTGCTGCTGCTGCTGCTGCTGCTGCTGTGCTGCAGCCGCGCCCTGAGTACACGGCCAAGTGCTGGTACCCCACAGTGCCGCAATCCCGCCGTTTATCTGCTGCTGCTTTTGCTGCTCGTCTGGCGTTGTGGGGTCCCCTGTGGCAGCAGCCGCCGCTGTCTGCTGCTGCAGCGTGGCTGCGGCGGGCAGCAGCAGCAGCAGCAGCAGCAGCAGCAGCAGCAGAAATGATGCTGCTCGTCGATGTCCGGCCCCACACCCAGTTTGCTGTTGCTCACCTCCCCCACTCTCTGCACTGGCCGCTGCAGGAGCTGCTGCAGTATGTGGAAAGGAGGCAGCAGCAGTCAGCAGCAGCAGGCTCAGCTGCTGCTGCTGAGGCCCCAGCAGCAGCAGCAGCAGCAGCAGGCCCCGCTGCTGCTGCTGAGGCTGCAGCAGCAGCAGCAGCCGCAGCTGGGAGTCTGAGTCAAAGGGACCACAGCCAGGTGCGCACTTGCAGGCGCTAGGCCACCGCAGCAGCAGCAGCAGCAGCAGCTGCTGCTGCTGCGAAGCTTTGCTGCTGCTGCTGCTGCTGGCAGCGCGAGTCCCGCCAACGCCGCTGCTTGGCGCTGCTGCTTGTGCTGCTGCTGCTCTGCGCAGGAGGCCGCGCTGCTGCTGCAGCAGCTCCTGAGGTGTCCATACACCCCACACCCTCTTGCTGCTAGGCCAATTGCCCTTGTCTTCATTTGCCGCAGAGGCAAAGACTCAGCCATCGCCACTGAGGCCATTCACCAGCTAATAGCCCCTCCCGAGGGGCCCCCGGGGCCCCCGGGGGGCCCCCCCTTTAGGGGCCCAGGGGCCCCCCAGGGGGCCCCCTCAGGGGCCCCCTCAGGGGCCCCCTCAGGGGCCCCCTCAGGGGCCCCCCAGGGCCCCTGGGGGGCCCCCCTGCGGGTGTTTAACCTTGAAGGGGGGCTGGAGGCCCTTGCACGGGAGGGTCTAATTCGCATGCCTGTGCCATGAGGGGCCCCCTGGAGGGGCCCCTTGGAGGGGCCCCCTGGAGGGGCCCCCTGGAGGGGCCCCCTGTAGGGGCCCCCTGGAGGGGCCCCCTGGAGGGGCCCCTTGGAGGGGCCCCCTGGAGGGGCCCCCTGGAGGGGCCCCCTGTAGGGGCCCCCTGTAGGGGCCCCCTGTAGGGGCCCCCTCGCAGTTTTATGTTTTGCTGCTTCTGGATTGTTTTGAAGATTCATAATTCTTATTATTAATGTTCATTTTTTATTTAAAGCTGCTGGCAGGCCACTGCAGTTATATATTATATTTTTTTCAAACTAAGGAGAAGCTGCTGCAGCTCTGCTGCTGCTGCTGCTGCCTGCGAGGAAGCTGCAGCGCAGCAGCCAGCGCAGCAGCAAGAGCAGCTACAGAGGCCAGCCAGCAGCAGCAGCGCGGGCAACAGCAGCAGCGAGAGTAGCAGCAGCCGCAGCAGCAGCAGCGCGAGCCGCAGCAGCAGCGTGAGTAACAAACAGCAGCAGCAGCAGCAGCAGCACAACAGCAGCAGCAGCAGCAGATGCGCCTTTGTTGCCACGTGCATTCACCTGCATGCAGCTGGCAGCCTGTGGACTTGAGCTCTTGTTGCTTCCTCAGTATTCGTTTTGCTGCAGACGCAGCAGCAGCGGCTTTGCTGCTGTGCTGCTGCGCTGCTGCTGCTGCTGCTGCTGCTGTGCTGCTGTGCTGCTGTGGGGCGCAGCAAAGACGCCCCAGCCCGCGGGCCAGCTTCGCCCTAATAAAGATCTAAAAAGGCCCCAAGTGTCCTTTGCTGCAGCAATTAATTAGTTTGAAAAAAGGGGAGCAGCAGCAGCTTTTCTAGTTAGAGGAAGAGAGCGAAAAGAGCCCTCAAAAGCCCCTCTCGCTGCTGCTGCTGCTGCTGCTGCTGCTGCTGCACAGCGGGCCTCTGCTGCCCGCTCTGCAGCGCCCCGGCAGCACAGCTCTTGCCGCAGCAGCAGCAGCACCCCCAGGCAGCAGCTGCAGCAGTGCCCCCCAGCAGCAGCTGCAGCAGAGCCCCCCAGCAGCAGCTGCAGCAGGGCCCCCAGGCAGCTGCTGCAGCAGGGCCCCCAAGCAGCAACTGCAGCAGGGGCCCCGGACAGCAGCTGCAGCACAGCAGCAGCAAAGGGCTCCCTAGAAGCAGCTTTTAGGCCAGCTAAGTGAACTTAAATGAAGTCTCCAAAGGCCCCAATTTGGGGCCCCACAAATGCCCTAGAGGGCTTTCAAAACCCCCGGGGGCCCCTGGGGGGCCCCCGGGGGCCCCCCAGGGGCCCCCCGGGGGCCCCCAAGGGGCCCCGGGGGCCCCCAGGGGGGCCCCCAGCTCACTCTTCTGTCTGCACTGCAAACTCTTCGTCGCTGCTCTGCTCCTCCACCCATTCCTGCAGCACTCAAAGAGGCCAAAGGCATCAAGGTCTCAGCCAGAAACGCATGTGCTTGCTGCTGCTGCTGCTGCTGCTGCTGCTGCAGCAGCAGCAGCAGCAAGGGCCACAGCCACGCAACCAGTGGAGCCGGTGGGCTCATACGCATGCAGCAGCAAAGGGGAAAAGAAGAGAAGACAAGGCAAAGGCAAAACGCATGCAAACTGAGGCACTGACACAAGAAGCCAGCAGCAGCAAACTGCAGGCAGCTAGCTGCTGCTGCGCTGCTGCTGCGCTGCTGCTGCCGCTCTCAACAAAGCCAGCTGCATGCAGACGTGCGGGTCTACAGCTGCAGCAGCAAAAGAGCTTGCGTCGCTGCAGCAGCAGCAGCAGCACTGCAGCAGCAGCACTGCAGCAGCAGCACTGCAGCAACACTGCAGCAGCAGCAGCAGCACTGCAGCAGCAGCACTGCACCCCACAAACAGCAGCAAACTCTAATACACAAACTCACCCCAAACCGGTCAAGGTTTTCTTCCTCAGCCTTCTCCGCTGGGGCCTTGGGGGCCCCGGGGGCCCCCGGGGCCCCGGGGGCCCCCGGGGCCCCTGGGGCCCCCGGGGCCCCGGGGGCCCCTGCTGCTTCTAGGGCCTCCCCAGGGCTGGCAGCAGCAGCAGCAGCGCTCTGCTGCAGCAGCAAAAAGCAAAACGGAAATGGCTTGAAGCATGCAAGGCCCATAGAGGCGGTGGGGCCCCAAGCAGCAACAAGTCTATAGCAGCAGAGCTGCTGCGCAGAATCTAGGGTTTAGGGTTTAGGGTTTAGGGTTTAGGGTTTGGAGGCACTTTGCTGCGTGCAGCAACAGCAGCAGAAAACACTTGAAGAGACGCTGCGCGGGTCTTGCTGCAGTCCGCAACCAACTGACAGCCATCCCCAGAAAGACCCAAACCCTAAGCCCTAAACCCTAAACCCTAAACCCTAAACCCTAATCACCTGTTTGGCCCGAGAGGGCAAACAGCTGGCCCTAAAGTCAGTGGCCCCGTCAAAGAAAAAAGCTTCTACAGTCCGGCCGTCGAAGACGCGGCCTTTCATTTTCTGGAAGCAGCAGCAGCAGACACAAGAGACAGCCAGCGGGCCGTGCTGCAGCAGCAGCAGCAGCAGCAGCAGCAGCAGCAGCAGCGGCAGCAGCAGCAAGGCCCCGCTGCAGCACCGGCCTGGACAGCCAGAAACAGCAGCTGCAGGCGAACTCCGGGCCGCAGCTGCAGCAGCCGCCAGTAAAGTGAGAGCTGCAGCAGCAGCAGCAGCAGCAGCAGCAGCAGCAGCAGCAGCAAACAGCACATCTGCAGCAGCAGGGCAGCAGCAGCATCAAGCAGGCAGCAGAGTAGGCAAAAGAAAACCAGCAGTGAACACTAAAAACCAAAAAGGTGTTCCAAAAGAAATTAAATAAAGAAATTAAATAAATAATAAAATAATTATAATTAAAAAAGAATTAAAAGAAACGAAAAATGTTTTGCTGCTGCTCTTGCCTCAATAACTGCTGCTGCATCTTCTGGCTGTTTAAATTTAATGCAAACCACTCCTTGCGGGTGTCTCTGCAGACACCCCAGAAGCGCAGCAGCAGCAAAACCCATAAGCAGCAGCAGCAGCAGCAGCAGCAGCAGCAAGCGTCCCTAGAAGCCGCTAGGGTTTGCAGCCAGGGCACAGGGTTCAGCTAGGGTTTAGGGTTCAGCTAGGGTTTAGGGTTCAGCGAGGGTTTAGGGTTTAGCTAGGGTTTAGGGTTCAGCTAGGGTTTAGGGTTCAGCTAGGGTTTAGGGTTCAGCTAGGGTTTAGGGTTCAGCTAGGGTTTAGGGGTCAGCAAGGGTTTAGGGGTCAGCAAGGGTTTAGGGTTTAGCTAGGGTTTAGGGCTTAGCTAGGGTTTAGGGTTTAGGGTTTGGCCTACAGGAATAACAGTCACTTTGTCAGGAGTTGCAATCTTGGCAACTTCTTCAGAAACTTCTGTCCGCAGCTCCTCGTAAAAAGGGTCGCCTTCTTCATGCTCCTGCAAACCACAATTCCATGCATGCATGCATGCATGCATGCATGCATGCATGCAACACTTCCATGCATGCATGCATGCATGCATGCT